GATTTAAGTAATTGCTTCGACCTCAAAACAGTCGATTGCTCTCGAAATTTTCTTAGGGAAATAAAACTACCTATTGAAGCAAAGGAATTAGAATTTTTAGATTTAAGCAATAATAATTTTTCTTGACAAGATTTATCGTTTTTAAGTCATTTAACCAACTTAAAGCACCTCGAAATTCAAAATGATGATGAACAAAGAATCGAACAAGGAATCATAAATTATTTTTTTGGATCACTAGGACCACTAAAAAATATAGACAAACTAAAATATTTAAATATTGATAACACTGTTGTTGACTTTGGTTTAGAATATTTACCTACTAGTTTGAAGCAAATTGCTTGCCGTAGCAAAAATATCTCCCATCCTAAAGCACAAAAAATTAATGATGAATTATTTTTTTGTGGAGGAAATATTAAATCTTGAAAAGAAACTAATCCTGAGTTAAAAGAGGTACAAAAAAACAATAATTCCTACAAAAAACAATCATTAAAAATAGTCTCAGATGTGCCAAGTATATCACTCAACATATTTAAAATTAAAAAAAACAAAGTTAAAGAAAATCACAAAATCAAAGAAATAGACTACACAAAAATCTCTTTATGAGATAATCGTCCTTTTTCTTGAGAAAATAAGCAGGATTCCTTATTATTACCAACATATTTACCTATCAAACTCTACAACATAAAAACAAGTAAGGTAGAATGAACTAAAAATAATTCTGATATAAAACCTTATGCTACTTTATCTTATGTGTGAGGAAGCATGAGAGATAATTCCTTGCTAGAAGAGATGAAAATAGTTTATCAAAAAGTCAATGAAGAATATGAGGAAGAAATAACTATTACTAAATGAGGTAAAAAAAGTCTGGTCAAAGCAATTAAAGCTTGTAAATATTTAGGTATTGATTATCTCTGAATCGATCAACTCTGCATTAATCAAAAAGATAGAGATGAAAAAGCTGATGAAGTAAGGAAGATGAGAAAATGTTATGGTGAGGGTGAAGTGACATTGATATCTATAAATACTGAAGTAAAAGATAAAAATGAAAATGCAGAAAGTAAAAAGGAGATTTCGAGAGAAGCATTAAGCAAAATACTAAATTCTCAGTGATTCACTAGATCTTGAACTTTTCAGGAAGGATTATTGTCAAAAGAAACTATTTTTATGTTTGATGATGAATTAGTGGATGGTAGGATGATGGCTCAAGTTTGAACATCAGTTTCTCAACAGTTAGATAATTTTGGCTATTACGAGAAAATGAATAAAGATCCCGAAACATTTGTTACTCCCTTAGGTTGAACTCGTTTCAAAAGTAGAAATGATTTTGAACATTTAGGATTGTTTCAAGCTCTATCTGCTGTCAAGAACCGTGGTCGAGGAATACCTATTGATGGTATTTATTCAATCTTGGGATTATTGCCATACGATGAAAAAATAAAGGTTCAATACAAGCCAAAAATATGTCCACGATGCCCTAATCAAGAGGAAACTAAGGATTGTACTCATAACAAAGATAGTAAGAAATATCCTATTTATACTAAAGAAGAATTAGAAAAAAATTTAATCGATATAGTAAAAATAGCAATAGAAGAAGGACATCCTGAACCTTTAACTTGAATTGGACCAAGAAGAAAAGAAGTAGATAAGTGATGGATACCCACAATTAATGAGGAGGGTTCGGTTGCAATATGAGGTGGAATAAGGGTTTATTGCAAACCAAAAAGTATCGAATTTGTAAGAAATGGCATCAATTTATTTGGTTTTAAGTACATAATAGAAAAGTTTAGAGTCTTTGCAAATGAAAACACTTTATGTGCTTCTGCGGGAAATAGTCTTTTTTACTTACACGGAGCCGAGGAAACCCTTGAAAAAATAAAAGAAAGTGATATATTAGTGGTACCGAATAAAGAACAGTGAAAAGATAGTGAAGAGTTTGCTATTTTAGTACCTAGTGAAAGTAATCCTGACTGTCCAATAGATATATTAAAATTTTTTAGAAAACAAATGAAATTATCATTTGATAATTTTTCTTTTAACAACATTGATGATTTATCAAGTAATAAATTGAAGATTACGGAAAAAGTGGAAAAACAGAAGTTATTCATTGATATGGTTAACAAAAAAGTAATCGAAGGAGAAGAAACAATCTCTCGATTTCAATCTCAAATCCAAGTCCTACCTAAAAAATAAAATTATGCCAAAGGCTCAAGAGTATTTAAATCAAAGCTATATTAACAAAGGTCAAACCACTCAAATAGGTGCTAAAAATCAAAATTTATCCGGCGAACTAACTATCCAAGATTTCCCTGCCCTAAAAAAAATTGACCTTAGTAATAACAAAGACTTGAACAGTATTGAACTCAATAACCTTCCTATCCTAAAACATTTTCAGGCTAATAACTGTCAAATTCAAAACATTACTATCACTAACTGCCCTAATATAACCTATTTCAACATCGGCAACAACCTCCTAACTAAAACCGATTTCCTAGCCATTCTAAATCCTCAAACACTAACTTGTTTAAGCATCCACTCTAACAACTTTTGCAAGCAAAAATTAGATTTCCTTAGCCAATTTATCAACTTAGAAGAACTCTATCTTGACAACTCTAATGAGGAAAACCTTGAAC